TACATGGGTATGGCGCGTCGTGGAACGTCTCTGTGGTTTGAGAGTTTATGCTTGCGATTCCCCCCCTTGCTTATGGCCATTACAGTTGCTTGGCGTGTATCGGATGATGTTTATGGGTTTAATATTTAGACTTGCGCGCTCTCGCCTCCCGCTTTCGATATGACCTTCGATAGGCGTTTCTCCACGATTTTCATTTCTTTTTCTTATCATTGACGATACTGGCTCATTCATTTCACAAACCCGGGACTAGAGAGTGATGCTTCACTTTGCTCGGGAATAGTTTGCGGTGCAAGTCAAAGAATATACATTATTCATTAACATTTCATCTTCCGGCTGCATTACGGTCTATTCAGTCACACCTCGTTTGGATGGTGTCTGGACGGATCATACCATATTCACACGCTCATTTTGATTCTCTCTATATCTCTTCCTGTTCCCCGTTCGCCACAAAAAGCCTTCTAGTAAGGGAATGTTTCCTGGATAAATTCCCTTCCTCAACGTGGTAGTTGACGTCAGGCTTGCAACCATCACCGAATTCGCTTGTTACCTGCCTATGCTCGTTCCATCATATTGATATCGGAGGCTAAGTAGTGATATGGGAAGTAATTCAATCCCAGCACTAGGACGTCGCACTGCGAGTGACTGCGAAGTCTGGATGGAGTGGCGTGGAGCGGTGACTTGACCAGAGACGCGGTGATCGCAAGATCGTCCTATGGAGGTATATATACGGCGCCCATATCTCCCCTCGGTTCCTTTCTCTCTCTTCTCGGAGTTCTTGTCATCTATACCTTCATTATTCTTAAATTGAGAAGAGGGGTGGGAGATATTTATTTACCCATCCTCCCAGTCCTCCCGCCTTACGTCTATCTATTTGCCTACTTAGGTATCGAATAACTATCCCCCTAGGTGTTCCCGATCCTAGTGCAGTCTTCCAAGAAATATTGGAACGCGTTATTCTGCAATAATAACGGAAAGTGGTCTTATATACCAGAAATAATCATGGCTTAAAACCGGTTTCGGCGAAAGCAACCGGATATTTTCCCACCGAACTTCAGAAACGAAGACGCGATGGAGATTGTGCAAAGGCGGCTAGCAAGGTCCTGATGATGAAATACGACACAATCATTCAGACTGGCATGGAGACTCGAAGACGTGTGGCTGAATACTGGCTACACCGTGAATGCTATTCTGGAAAAAGAATATTACCGTTCCTTTCCTATGAAGAAGACATGAAAACAAGAGCGGGCGCTAATATAGAAATATATCCACTTACTCCACTTGAAATGCTGCTTGAAGGCTATTTCTGGATGGCGTTGAGCGAGAACAGTGTCGCCTCTATATCTGAATATTTAACAGCCCTCCGCTCTACGGCTAGATGAAATCTGCTGGAGAATTAATTGAAAACGCGATATGGGCCGTAACGAGGTCATCTGCAACAACCGTTTTACATCTTGAAGGAGTCTATCTACCCTTCGCTATCTGCAGGAGGGACAGTTTTGCAAATGCATCTACTGGAAAGAAGATGGGTTGAATATACAAAAGCTCTCCCCTTGTATCTGCTTTATGAAGGGCTTCATATTACAATTCGTGGTTTGAAGCGCTTAATATTAACTCCGTTTGGCGCCCTGCCAAATGATACATACAAGCTAGATTTTCCGATCTTCGTTTGGCGTACATGGCAGGCGTCAAACGTACTTCCCAATTCACGGCCTTTATTCGCTCCGTTCAGTCTCCAGATCTTGGTTCATCCAACCTGCGTTGTCTCGCGCGGAAACCTTCGATAGGTCTGGATTACCATCTGTCGATTTTGGCGGAAGTGGACATTCTTGACCAAACAAAACATTTAGTGAAGCAATGGATCCGCAGAGATGTATTTGCGGTAAATGCAAACAGTCATTATCTCCTTGTTGTTCTTCCACGGGTTACACAGAAGATGCTTGGTCCGGTGTTCTGCCAGTCAGATGAATCTCCCGTTCCGCGAGCTGGCGAGCAGCTGGTGGCTTCGATACTTCATACTCGAGGGTGAGATTTCACAGGGGAGTGAACATTTTCTATGCCATACAACCCACATTCCCAGTAATACTTCAATTCGCGCCTTTAGTGATATAGGTATGTTGATAGTTATACTAGGTGCGCGATTCGCCACTGGTGAGGCGCATCATGCGCACTCGTGCCTTCGTTGTTTGTGGGGTGACCGCTAGGGAAGATCTGGCGGGCCACAAGGAACGCCTTCGCCATTTGGTAAAGCGGCTTGATGCTCCCCAGCTTGCGCGGTTGTCTGCCTGCGGCAGGGTGGGGGTGAATTCCCTCTGGTCCCGCTGTCGGGCTGCTACCGTGCCTGCGAGGATGCAGGACATGGAAGCTGTTGTCGTGCCTATGGCCGGGTTGGTGGTGGAGGAAAAGGAGGAGGTGATGGGGGAGGATTTCAGGATTCTTGGGGGGTGGAGTTTGGGGATGTTCGGTGGGTGCTGCTAGGCCTATTGTGGAGGTTGCTGACGCCGCAACGCCAGAGGTGTCGTATGCCCAGCATCCTATGCACTATTTTCTCGCTGGATACAGTGAACAAGTCCTTTCTTCAGGTCACTGCAGACAAAATCAACAAAGCTTCCAGCGGGGACATTCTAATGACAACATTTACTTACCCCTGGAGGCACTGATATACCTTTCGACTTTTTACACCTAGTTTTGGCAAATTATTGGGATCACTCTATCTGCCCACCTAATCAGATAGGCCCGAAATTTGTTCTCGTCGCCCTCATAACACCCACATTATGGAGCTGTTGCAGAGCAACAGAACAACTCCAGGAAAGGGTGGATTCTATTATGTTCCGAGATTGCAGGGAGGTAGGAACCGTGCAACAGATTCAACCAAATGGATTCACATTGGCTAAGTCTGAGCCAAGGCTTACTACTCCCTTATTATCGCTCTCTTTCGGTTTCCTATTCTCCGTTACTAAAGTCGCATTTATTATTCCAGCCCCAAGGACGTTACTATTCCCAGAATGGATGCGTGTGTTGAGTGGATGTGCCACGATCCCCAGTCGAAAAGAGGAATTGAAATTGTGCTGCATGGAGGTGCGTGCGAATTCCCCTGGATATCAAAAGAGCGCTTCACGCATGCATTACCATTTATTTAGCCCGCAGAAATGTGACATTCTCCTCTGCCTCATTCATAAAGATAAATATTGTCATGCAGGGAAGATTAAGAAACTGAAGCCGATCATATACAAGAGCTCTTGTTCCATACAACCCCACTGCCGCTCTGTGAAACCTGGCCCAGGCTGGTTTGATTGACTCATACTTCCCAGCTGCTAGACAACAAGATGGATGGCAGGAATGGTCAGAATATCGCACTATATATGCCAATGACATGAAACTATTATGTTCGGATTCAAAACCCTGGGATATTCCTGTTAAATAGATGCCGTTCGATGGATACGACACTGGAACTGTTGGAGTTGTCTTTAAAACGCCGCTACGATACATTTGTTTTCCCCGACTCTTATTAGGCCATTCCCTATGATACAAGCAAGGGGATCTGGAGCCTTCAGCTCCAGCAATAAGATGTTGTATTGCCCCTGGACTACACTTCATACTTCGTGCTTCCATTTGGCCAGCTGCAGTGAGGTACATGTGGCAGGGGTGTGAAACATTTATGGTCGAAGACGTTTTAAAGGCGTATACCGGTTCAGCTGCAAGTACTTAGTATGATTATTTGGCATGGACTCTGTCGGTCTTTCGAAAATGATAAACATGAATGGGTTGCAGTTGGGGGCTTCTCAACATTTGAATGACACCGTCAGTCTCCGAAATATAGATCATGTTGTGCTATTAAACGAATACAACAAAAGGGACACTTCGAACGCCGTCCGCAGGTGGATCAGCTAAGCACGCAGGAAATCCATGCTGACTTATTTTAACTGTCTCCACCTAATATTCATATGTATGGAAGGTAAGCCGCTGTAACTCCATGAGAGGCCAGCTATCCGGATCCTTCTTCCTCTGGTCTGTGATAATCGCTGGAGCAACTTTATCGGATACTCCCAGCATTTCTCACGGCAAAAACTACGAAGAAATATTATTTAACTTGTTTGTTCTGCTAAGGAACCCATATCCCATAAGGAAATAATAAATATCATTCATGATTCGCCATGCCGGTCAGGGGTTAATAGCGCCTGGGATCATCTACAGCTACCACGAATACGCTTTGGAGAGCGCCTACACTTCAATTCAACTGGCAGCCTAACTGAAAAATTCAACCTCGTCAAAAAATAAGCATGTTGGGTTTGAAAAAAAATTATTTGCACATGGCTGGCCAACCTTAGCTACTCATATTCTGTGTCACAAAATTTTCAGATCTTCTCTGGATAAGATTGGCTACTCCTGGATATACAACTTCTGTACAAATCTTTAGCTTCACGAAAGTCAGAGTTTGCTCTCTCAATTGTCATATATAGTTATCCTTTTGACACTAAGCTGAAGAAAACATCGACAGTGGGCTTACTCCAGCGCCGCACACCCCCCTCCCCTTGTGAGGTGTCATGAATTCTTATCCCTCCGCGCCAGCAGTAATCAACTCTATCTAGCACCCAGGTCAATTCTTATATGACTTGGTTTTGCTGGTCAATTCCCCACTAACTGTGACGGGTCACAAAAATATAGCAGAAAGAGACGGCCTAAAAACTTTCCATCCACTTTGACTTTGAGTAAGTGGCTCCCTTCTTTTTTATTCCTTGTCGCGCCTGTAAAGCAGGTGTTTCTTGTGATTCCCGAGCCGCATGGCCTCCGGGAGTTGTGAGAATGGAGTTACCAGGAGGCCCAAATTGGGAGTTTGAATGATATGTGTCGCTGAGGAGCTCAGATCTGAGGATCCACAATAAATTGATATGACAGGGGTTTCCCGGAAGAGCGCCCCTCATTGAGGAGTTGGAGAATAGAATGTGAGTTTGGAGAGAGTTTTAAAGTGGCTGTCTACGCAAGAGCGTTTTATTGAAGCCCACCAGGATAATGAACACTATCATTCGCTCCCTCTTCTGCATCTCATGGGATATCATCAGGCCGTCGTAGTTCCTGGCGTGCGGGCCGTGCTCGATAAGTCGAAAAACTCTTGACTACCAATGACATCAGCGAGGATACCAAGTCTACACCAAGAGACCGTAAGTACCGGTGAAGGAAACTAATAACGATACCAAGGGAGAAAGTTACAATGGGGATCGCGGTTTAAATGCATGCAATGCTACAGTGCTTTTTGGTATCCCAGACTTGCTACTTATTCTCCATGTCGATCTCCAAGCCAACCCAAAAAATTCCTTGCATGCCTTCATCTTATGCCTGTCTCTAAGCTTTTCTGTCTAGATTTGTTTCTTGTTTGTTTCCAGGAGCATCATCTTCAAGGGCATTGCTTTTACAGAAGGGGTTAATGTAGGTTCTTCATCCCGCTCCGCTCCCCTCGCTTGCTTCTCCCGTGGCCCATCCTCCTCAGCTTAATAGGTAGTTAGTATAAGGAGTTGACAGGAATACAATTCTTCTTCTTCTTCTTCTTCTTCTTCTTCCTAACCGCAACATCCTTGTCTGACAGGGTGAATACAATAGAAATTGAAATTTCAGCTTCTAGCTTTATTCGAGTTATCTGCACTCTGTACGGTACGTCCGAACTTAAACGGGAATAAGAAATCTATGGTATGAAAGGAGTGAATTGTTGCCTGAGCATTGGTGTATTTTTAGGGGGGATTTTCTTTGCTTATCTTGCTCAGCTTCAATTCAAGTGCCTGCGTTCAGTTCTCGCCTTAATTAACTACCAGCGAAGAAGAGCTTCAGCCCGCTACACCACATATCAACACACTGAAGTCGTTGTTAAACTGGATATGTACTGTACTTTTACAACTGCACTAAAAGGAGAATTCCCCTAAAATTAGCATGCTTTAAGGGAATCTAAGTACACTATGCATATTAGTTACTATCATGTCCGGGTCCGCCCAATGAAAGTAAGCTTCAGTGGTGGCTTGGGTCTGCGAGTACTAGTGCCGGTGACGTTTTCCATCGATACCTAAACAGTGACTGTCGAGAGAACACGGTAAACTCGTTGTTAGATTATATATATAGTTAGTGCGATTCCTCGAATTTCTATCCCCCTCTTCTCCTCTCGGAATACGCAGAGTCCAGACATCGAGGTACCCTGGAGATCGAGAAAGCTCTCTCAATCTCTGCGTTCCATACACAAAAAACCTAGCAACCACAATCCACAAGATCCGGAATTCCTAGCCATGACAACAGCAGCAGTGTTCGGCTGCACTGGAGCCGTGGGCTCTCAAATCCTCGCGACAATCCTCTCCACGGATACATTCTCAGCCGTCAAGACTATCTCAAGGAGGCTGCCGAATGCTCAGTCTCCGAAGCTCCAGGCCATCGAAGAAGGCGACAGCTCAAAATGGGCCAGCATGCTCCCTTCCCTCTCCCCCAAGCCGTCAGTGTTCTTCAATGCAATCGGTACCACTAGAGTGGCAGCCGGCGGAATCCAGAATCAGTGGAAGATCGACCATGACCTGTGCATAGAGAATGCGAAGGCAGCCAAGGCGGCCGGGGCGACGACGTACGTGTACATCTCCAGCGCCGGGACCAGAGGCTTCCCAACTCGCTACCTGCCCTATTCGAAAATGAAGAATGGCGTTGAGGATGCCATCCGGGACCTCGATTTCGAACACGCCATCATCGTGAAGCCTGGAGCTATCATCCACAGGGAGCAGAGCAAGGTTCTCTTCTTCGAGCGCGCCGTTGAATGCCTCAGTATGTTTGGGCAGGGCCTCCAGGATATGATAGGTATGGCCTATGACCCCCCTCCCACCAGATAAATTTTCTTTGGATGGTTTTTTGTGATTCTGGGATATTCTTGTATGCTGATGAAACCTACAGGCCAGGATCAAGCCATCATTGGTAGAGCAGCTGTGGCAGCCGCTCGGATGGCTGAAGAGGGCAAAGCACCGTCAAAATACTGGGTTGTGAATATGGCTGATATCGTCAAGTATGGCAGGGACGAGTGGAAGGAATAAAATCACTTTGTGGAGACCATAGGCTGCAGCGCATTGATCATATCGCACTGAGACATACTTAAATATTTTTCAAATAAACAGATAATATAAAAAAAAAATTTTTTTTTTCTACATATTTAAGCGCAAATAGTATTAAAGAAGTAAAGATTAAGATAGAGAAGATAGATAGTAATTTTAATCTAAGCTCGATTTTTTTTTTTTTTTTTTTTCCCTTCGAAATTCTTCTCCACCTGCTTTCAAGCAGCAGGTTAAATCCCATACGTACCGCCTCATAATCGGCATGTCGAATTTCAGAGCCCTCACTGCTTTCAATTATCACAGGGTTTACATCCTCGCCGTCATCCAGACCATCGCTGTGAGATTCAGCTGCACCTTCAGCTCAAGCGTTTCAAGGATCACTCCATCACTCCATCCCCAGAGCGAATTTTCTGTCCAGTGATGGAATTAAACAAGTTTAGGTGTCTAAGAAGTTCCACCAGATTTATCGTCAATATATGCCTGTTCTCGAAGAGATCTTAACGTGGGGAGCCAAAAGGAGGATGAGGTAAATTAGATTTGAGAACACCTCACAAACAACTCCACACGACGGCGGGCAGAGCACCCCGAGAAGTCGTCTATTGTGGCGATCGAATTGCTTGCGAAAACAGGAATCTGCCCAGCCACCCTGAATATTAGTAGCAAAACACTGCAAAAATAGCCATTCTATCCATGTTTTTCTAACGTAATCCACAAGCAAGTCGGCCACTCAAGAAACACAATATAAAATATAATAAATTACAACATTATATCTCAACAACTAGATAATTTATAGTTTCAAATAAAAAAATATATTAATATATATATTCTTTTCTAATTAATTATTGAATTTGAACTAGATTTCTGTAAAATATACTCTATATAACGATGTGACGGTTGGCCGGAGGCTGCAAATGGCTGTTTTCGCCGCTGCTTTCGGCCTCCCGCTAACCGCCCAACCTCGATCATCACGTGAATCTATCCCCACGGCCGCGACCCTTCCCTCCACGCGTGGCCACGATTTTAGAAGTGCATTTTCGTGGCTTCCAGTCACCACCCTCGCTCACCCTCGCTCACCCACTGCCCTTCCTTTGGGAGGGGAGGGGAGCCGTTTTTGACGCTTCACTCTGTCAGATTTGGCTCCCTCCCCAGATCATGGATCGTGTTGTTCTCTCTGCCTCCAGTCCCCGTCACTCTCACCATGCCGCCTGCGGCTCCCTTCCCTCCCCTCCTTCGCAGCACTACCGGGCCAGTTCTATCCAGGAAAGCGTCTAAGTCTTTCATTACTTGTTCCTGTCCCTCTCTCCTGTCGGCTCTCTCCTTGGGCCGTCCTGATCATGGCGCCTGTCTCTTGTTTGGCCGGGCCTGACAAGCAAAGCAGGAGCAAGACGGATGTCAGGTCTGCTCTGGATACCCTCTCCGCGCTGGATGCCATCTTTTCAGACAGTGGGTATGAAAGTGGCTCCGTCAGCGACGATGAAGACGACGACGACGGCCAGCTCCCCCCCGAACACTACCTGGCCTTAGCAGAGAGCCTTGATATCGCTCAGCTTCGACAGAAGCGGTACAGCCCCAGAACCCAGGAAAAACTCGATGAGACCCGTGGTTACTGGGAGAGGTAGGCAGTGGCTCATTTGACCCTCAGACTGTGTTATAAGCTCACCAGTGGCGCTGGGCAGGTATTGTCGGCATATCAAGGCGAACGCGGAGCGGCAATGGGATCGGATCTCTAATTCAGAGGAGACGGTTCGCTTCCTGTATGCATTCTTTAGCTGGCGGTGTGATATCCGTCGTGGCAAGAACAATCGATACTGTCCGGGCATTAAGCGCAAAAGCTCACTGGAGACATTTTGGAAGTGGTGGCACCTTGTCCTCAAACAGGAAACGGCATCGGGACTCAGCAAAGATACAATTGTCAAGGTGGAGGATGTGAGCACCTTACTCTCTCTCCTCGGATCACTTAACCAGAAGCACCACTAATCTTTTGCAGGTTGTTGCACAGGTGGCCACAGAAAAAGAGCTGGCTCTTGTTGGGCGGCCAAAGAAGAACATGTATATTGAAGATGTTGCTGAGTTCGCTCAAGTCGTTCTCACCACCACTGAGATGACATTTGTCTGCGGTTGGCAGCGCATTCAAATGCTTCTCTTCTTGCAGCTTGCTGCCATCACCGCCAGCCGTCCCTCGGCGATCCTCCATCTTCGGTATCGAGATGTCGTGTTAACCCTGATTCGAGTTCCAGACGGCGGACGCCCCCGATTGTTCATATTCTTAAAACCAGAATTTACTAAAAGATTTCTCGGAGATAAGGCACCGTATGTGTTTCTGATCCTCGCGGCATGGCCTGGTTGACTGACAGAATTGATAGGAACGAGTTTAAGATTCCGGAAATCATCTTTGACCCGACCCTGGTTCTCAGCCCGCATATCTGCCTGCTGACTCTGCTCTTTCACATTGGAGGATTCAAGTCAATTTCAACAAGTGGACCAGTGTTGGATTGCGCAGAGAAACTCTACAGCGCCAAAGTGCTGGATGGCAAGGGACAGCAGCCGCTACTACTAAAGGATGAATTACTGGATAAGTTTGTGTTTTGCCAGACGGAGCCAACATCCACCGGATTTAAAATTTGCTTGGATCAGAGGATGACTCCATCCATGGTGAGTTCCCGGATGCGCCGAGCCGGTGAGATCACGGGCTTTGAGGAGGTCGCCCACCCGTACAACCTCCGATATGCTGGAGCTAAGGCATTTAACAATAGCGGTAAGTAGCCCTCCGTTTTCTTCATGTTGCAGTCATGTCGGAGGGCTAACGATGAACAGAGGAAGTTACGGAAGCTCTTCAGAACGTCATGCTCCAGCACGCGGATATTCGCACCTTCGTCAAGCATTATCAGGTGGACGTCGACGTTGACGCGCAGGGAATAGTCCGGAAAACAGGCTCCCAAACAGCATTGGTGCAATTTGCCTGCTCGATGAGTGCATCCATCGACCCCAACCGACCGTATAAGCTCTCTCCAGAAGAATCACGGTCCCTCAATTACCTTCCAGTTGTCCGTGGCCGTCAGGATACTGTCCAGAAGCGCAAGCGGGAATGGGAGGATCGTGAAGCCGAGTTAGAACGTGCCAACAGGGTATGCAAGACTTCTCTAGGGCACCTTGACGACAGAGTACTCGCCGAGTCCAACCCTGAGGTGCTGGAGAGACTGGAAGTTTTCCGTGATCGGACAGCAGAAGCAAAGTCGGAGCACAACAAGGCTACCCGTGAGTTGCGCAACGAGAAGCAGCGGCAGCGGAACCGACAGATCCGTGAGAACCTTGAGCGCTATAAGAATGAGCAGCCTGTGATTGACCTTGAGCGACAACTGGCCGGGAAGCTGGTGGATACCAAAGTCATGGACACTTTCGAGCACGAGGCCTTCATGCCTCCCGAGCACTTAATGTTTGTTGACTGCGTGCTGACCATGCCGGGCGCTAATCTTGAAGCGGAATATCAGCGGAGGATCAACACAATCAACGCAGGAGTTGCATTCTGTGGCGTGGAAGAAGGGCGGCCCTCGCGCCGGCCCACGCAGACCCGTGGCCGGCCCACGGTCGATGATGACCCTTGTCCTCCGACCAAGCGGCAGAGGTGCTCGGTGAAGGATAACACTGAGGTCCTCTTGCACCAAGCAATGGAGTCTGTGCAGGCCAAGTCTACAGCTGAACAGCCTCAGACCTGCTTTCGGCCTCGCGTTTGCTTTCTCTGTGTTGGGAATCCTAGTTGCGCGCTGGAGGACCGCATTATGAAATACGCAACATCCGGATCACTTACAAGGCACTTTCTACGAAGACATATCAACCCTCCATGGCCGGCCACTGGGGTTGAGTGCAATGTTTGTGAGGGGAAGGTGCTCCCGGCCAAATCTACTCTTCTAAGTCATGCAGAGGAGGCCCATGGAACTGTTGTGCGGGGTCGCGCTCGGGAGAAACTGGCGTTGGAATATCAACGGAGCCTAGAGAACTAGTTTTGTACAATAGAGATATATATATATAATAAAAGGAGTTGCGGTTCTCACAAATCATGTCCAGCCTCACTCTTACTCAAATGCATGCTATATCAAAACACAAACAAAAAGCAAGTCACGCTACAATACGCTATCAACATGCCCGCTGGGAGCTTACTTCCCTCCATGTTGATGGTTGTCGCTTCGAGACCCTGACGGGATGCAACCTTCAAGAGTAATGTCTGCACCTGCGACTTTTATATCTATTTTTCTTTGTTCTTCAAGGAAAAAAAAGTCAGACATTCCCCTGAGTCTTATTCGCTTTCTTGAAATCTGCACGTAAACCCGAGACTTCTCTCTATGAGTGCCGCGAGATTCTGTCCTCCATTGCCTGCTTCTGCTGCTGCACCCATGAGGGGTAAAACGTCTAGCTTGAGTTCTTATTCTACTTCTGATACTAGCTGGGCAGATGTATGTTTCAAATCACCCCACCCCCGCAGAACCTACTCTCATTTTGTTTTTAGAGCATTTTTGCTACGATGTTAACTATATGGTTTATGGTGCATATAGGGGCTTCGCGGCATCGCTTCGATATTCGTGGTTTCGAGCCATATCACTCTATGCTTTGCACGGGGTATTGTGCCCCCGTCAAAAGGGCAAGATGGCCCGTCCACGCTGTTCCAACGTCCGTTCTTTCGGCTGATAGGCCAGGGCAATGCATTCGTCGCGATATTCTTCGTCCTCCTTGGATTTTGTAACTCCCTAAGGGCCATCCAACTTTCTCGGGCCCGCACTGTCTCAGACGCACTCTCTACACTTTCTAGAAGCTCTCTTCGTAGGATTTGCAGGCTGGTAACCCCAGCTGCAGTTGTTGTTGTCATATCATGGTCTCTGTGCCAGCTGAACTTTTTTTATTTGGCTCAAAGGTCGGATGCCTTTTGGTTGCAAAGCACAACTCCAAAGCCAAGTGATGCAATTCAGACGTCCCTGACCCATTCTCCCATCCATCTCAATAGAGCCACTCAATAAAGAAACTGAAGGTAGCGGGTTGAACATCCTCAAGTTTCACTTTCTGCTCTTGGCCTTCAGTAAAACGATCCCGTTTCAAAGCAGCTTTGAAATAGGAGGAGGCTTTAACTAAAAGGCGTGAGTGTAAGTGGAAGGTTCGGGCTGAGTCAGAGGGACCGACGATGACGGGAACAATTGGTGATGATAGATATCTACACGAGTGACGATGAGCTTTAATTGTTTGATGCCAGAACATGTAGAACGTCGTTCTCACTCTGAAAACTTTTCCTCATCGGGATCATCGAGGGCCGGGGAACTGGTCGGCGCCAAAGAATCCTCCGTGTTGGGGGGTGGCATTATGTAGCGGTAGCTGTAACAATTAACTGGCGTTGGGTGAGAATGAACAAGAATAGAAGGGAAAGGTTGTGTGGAAGTGGTGGTTATTCGCATTTACTCTATTAATAGGAGAATTCTCGACATGTAGTGGGTCATATCTTGGGTCTCGGTTTACGAAACTGCTCGGAACATACGCGGGCGGATGATGGAAGGCATCGACACCACTTCCTGCCTGGGGAGAACGATGAAATGAATTCATGTCTATGGCAGTAGCTGAAGTAGCGGGGGGGATTGAGAGTGAGCTTAGTAAATTAAGTGTCAATTTCCAGTGGCAGGGTTCGGGGAACAGATAACAGAAAACCCATCAAAATTTGAAGTTTTCAGCTGAACTTGAGATGGTCTGATATCTGAATCTGTCTCAATATAGATCCAGAGTGGACTCAGAGAATTTCCTAGTTGGCTCATGTGCTTTTGAGGTATGGAGTAGGGTGACGAATTCATCGACGTGAAAGAAAATACCGATCTACAGGCTTCTGCGAAAGAAGATTGGGATGTTGCTAATTTTGAGTGTTTGGATGGAAGAGATTTGGAGCGCACTTTGCATGTTTTTTCCAGAAGGGAGAGCGGCACTGAGAGCCAGAAACACATATTGGCCAGCATGGAGAAAAGAAAGCGAACTGCAATTAGCCGCCCGGGGTACTCTCAAGGTTGACTAGTTAGTAGTCTTCAATCCGGAGAAGAATATAACTGGTCACACCATTCATATCATGTTGGCAAGAGTTGGGGTGTTGGGGGCAAGGGCCACGCAGTTCCAGGACGCGCCCTGAATATTAAGCTTCACATCTTCCAATCAAGGGATTGATGGATAAGATTGTGGGAAATACCCAGTTTCATACAAACTCTAAGAGGCAATTTCTCGAGTGATAGGCTCCAAAGGGCAGAAATGGGGCCGGGATTTGAGCAGACCCTCATCCTGCAAGGCCAAAAGCATCGTCCAGTCGGAAAATAGAATTGTCAATTTATTATCGAATGGGTGTCTGTGCTGCATTCTGTGGGGTTGGACAGGGGAGTCGTTTTTAATTTTAGTTGGCGGGTAGGACGCGGCGCTTAAGAAGAGATTACAGCTAACGTGCAGGCGCTAAGTTAACTAAGTTTCTCTGAAAGTTCCCAGTGGACACCGCGTGGAGGTGGGAGCTCGTCGTCCGCCTATCTGCCCGTCATTTCTACGGCCGTTGTAAGGAATCACAGGTAGGTCTTAATCAGATGAGAAGCAATGAATTATTATTGAACTATCTGACAGTAAGGGGTGGTTCCAGTAACAAGATGTAGGGCAAAGAAAGAAACACTAAAAGCTCAAAAATCAAAGAAAAAGAAGTTCGCCATAAAACCAGGCGGCCAGAGAAAGAAGCAAAATAGAAATGTCCCTGGCAACCTTACCCACAGAGCTCCTGCTCATCATCGCTTCCTACCTCATCGAGCCCTCCGACCTCCTCACCCTTCTCCTCCAAAACCGCTACATCTACTCCGTCCTCCACTCAACCCTCTACACCAACGGCATCCGCCGCCACGGCTGCTCGGCCCTCAGGTGGGCCGCCACGCACAGCCGCGTTGTGACGGCGGAGCATTCACTCAAGCGCTGGGCGCATAAGATCCTCAGCGCCTCTTATCGCAAGGACGAGAATGTGGTAATGGGCGGGGCCTTTTGGGGATCTAGGGGAGGCATATATACTTTTCTCTGGGGCTAGACAAAATAGACAAACGGAAATGGTTCGAAGAAAAACCAAAGTGAGAGGCAAAGAACTGAGGGGCGTTCCACTCTGCATGGAATTTTTTGACCAGCTCCTAGCAGCCCGGGATCAGATCGCTCCGCGGTTGCCACATAGGCCGCCATGCGACACGGTACACTCTTATTCCAATGCAGAGAAATTGGCTAGGTGCAGTAGTAGACATAAGTTTTGAGTGCAGCCACCTTCTCATCTTCAAGCAATCAGCATCAATGCACGCCATACAGAGTTTTAGCAATATGAAGTGCTATTTTCGTTCATCACTTTAGAGCTGATATTCTGTTTACGGTGTAAAACGCGGAAAGACAGTTCGGGTGCCACTGTAGAAGCACGCAGAAGTGTTAAATTTTCTTGATGATACCGCTCTAATGTTATGAACTGCCTATGTTTTCAGAGTTGCTCTATAATTCTCTCTATGTTTGCTGTGTGAAACTTCATTCATCTTCACTTTAGAAATATGAGACTCTACTACATATGTGAAAGGCTGGCAAACGAGGAGATAGCTATAGAAGTACAGGAATCCTTGGCGACAGGAGGACATCAAAATAGCCAGTAAGAGACACCACCCCATCGAGCGTGCGAAACCAGGTCAAATGAAATACTAACGGACAGTCGAAACATAACCCATATGGAGATTCTCCCAAACTTGCCAACTATGCCAACCCTTCCTGCTTGCCCTTAACACTGGCCTTGTTAGCGGCATAAGTCGCGTCGCCGCCATCGATGATTCCTTCCGCCTCTAAATCGTCCAAAAGCTCGAGCACATAGTCTTGACAGTTATAACCCGCGAATTCATTGTGGATAACTGCGTTCTTTGCAGTGTCCTTGATAGCTTCAACTTTGAAAGCGGGCACGTCGCAAAGGTAAACCAGTTCCGCGAGGCTTTTTGATTCGCGGGCGTTTGAGTTTCGCATTTCGAAACGGTATCGAGTCGAAGAACCCATGGCGTGGAGTATGATCTTTTCGGAATCGGTGGCTCCCTCAACGAAGAGGCTCCAGTGCTTATATACACCGCTGTGGTAGATGGCAACATGGAGCTTGACAGTTGGAGGCATACTGAAAATCGCCGAGAAGTACCGCGAAAAGTTTTCAAGATGGTGTATCTGTAGGAGCGAGGCTGCGGGGAGTCCAGTCGACCGCTGGCTGGATACGAGGGGGTTGGAGGGAGAGTAAGAACCTAGCACGAGACAGGAAAGCCTTGGACGAATCTGGCACGTTGACTGTGAAGAGAGGATAAATTGAGCGAGGATGCAAATCAGAAGTCTGAGATGGAAAACAGCCGAGGGTTAAGGCTAATGGGGACATGTATCGATGGAGCGGTAGAGATATAAAGAGATTTAAGGGGAATTTTTCTTGTGAATCAAGATAATGGATGGAGGGAGTAAAAGCTGGGGATTGCGATGATTTTATATACAACTCCAAGCCGGACCCTTCTTATGTATGCCCACAGGAAAAGGTGCTTGGATAAACTGAGTGGTGTTTGGGATATTACCGTTCACAGCGGGATGATGAAAGGAAGATTGCTTCTGGCTATTCGGGAATTTGAATTGCTTTCAGACAAACTTTGCAGCAATAAACAGCGAATCATATGTGTCTTGTTGGGTGGCATCTCTGTAAATGAGGTTTCAGAACATGCATATAAGTGTTGGTCATGTTCTATGTATAAATAATTTGCTGATCCGTGACGCATGAATGAACTTGAAAGCATGCCTCAAAGTAAATTGAGCAGTATTAACCAATGACATTCCTGTGATTTGTAGGAGGACTAAGATCATGAAAAGAGTAGTTGGTTGGTTTGAACTAGAGAGCTAAGTGGGCGATGAAAAATCCCGTAGGCGCCCCGCAGGGGATCCAAGATGATTGAATAACTTCGGAGCCTGGCGGCTAGCATAGGAGAGTATCGGTTGTTTGGGAGGGCGAAGTGAAGCCCTGGAATGCATATGAACCGATGTGCAAACAAAGAGAAGCGGCGCGTATGCATGAATGAACTTGAAACGATGGCTTCATGAAAAATGGTTTGAGTAGTGGCCACTAAGGTATTCCCTTTGTAAAAATAGCCTGAAACGCAGCAGCTAAAGGTTCCCTGTCATTTAAGTCGCGTTTGGTTGAACAGACCGCTGCTTATATATTAACTAGGTCACAGGTTCGAGCAACTCAGGCGCCTCAACTTCCGAACTCTGAACGCCATCAATTTGGTAGTCGACCAAGCGAAGGTATCCCGCCATCTTCTTAACGTGTAGGTAGGATAACGCTCCAATCGTGACAGCCCTGCTTCCAACATCTCAACCCCTGAGATGTCGAACGCATGAATGGTGCGAGTGAGAGTCGAAGCCATTTCTTTCGAAATGCTTTCCGGCGACTGGATGAAAATAGACAGATCCTTTAAATAACAGTGAGAGTTCAGATTTGCTGAAACAGTGGGCTGGAAGCTGGCGGTTACAGGCAAGCCAAATACCAACCAGCTTTTAGTATTCGCCCGCTTTTCAGATCCCTAGCACCTATAATAGTGAGCTTTTGTTGAATGCGCGCGCTTAAGTTTCAGATCGTAATAATATACTCTTGATGTTGGGCTGAATTTCATGCGAATAATATTACAGGGCTTAATACCGAATAGTTGGATATCATTAAGGAGCTACTAGGTGGGCGGTATACGCGATGTTATGGTCACGTGCCGGCAGAGCTAGGCGGCCCGCAGGAAGCAAACATATCTGAATAATTAAAAAAACGCGCTTTACCACAAAACTCTCTGTAATATATAGTTATGAAGCGCGCTAATTGGTCCAAAAACCTCCAGGCGATGGGAATTCCACGCGTTGCTCGAGTCCGTTGTACCATGTCCTTTTTAACTCCGTATTCTTCGAAGACGCGTAAACGCAGGCAAACAAATCCCAAACAAATTATTTACACGGTAAAACCACTGGAATCCCAGCAGAATCTCGGTGCTTGCCATCCTTTCACAATCGTCCTTTGAAGAATTCTCTTATCCTCATAAGCCAGCTTTTGTGTCAGCAATTATGGATGAGGCTGCGGCTGCACGGGGCCTCTCGCTCACACACCCCAACGCAGCACAATGGAACCACGAACTTATGCTTGAATTCCAAGCAGCACTCGAAAAAGATCCAGCGGCGGACCTGATGTCAATTGTCTCTGATTCATATAGACGAGAACATCGAAAAGCTCAGTATTGCGAGCTCTCTTATGCAGCAAAAATTAATCTCAGAACAGTCGATGAGCTCGGCGATCAACTCAAGCACAAGCCAGAAGTCAACTTGCTGGATGTGTTTCCAAAGAATTATGTTCGCAGGATTAAAATGGCGACTGCCGGCCGTACAGCGCCGTCTGCGGAGGATACTGAAAAACCGAGTCCTCCGGAGTTCCGCACACGTCTTGATCTCGCTGACTCCGCCACGGTTGTCTTTCCATTGTCTGAGACAGTTACCGCTCTTCTTGCGAGGTATTCACACCCAGAGGAACCAGATGGTGCAGAGCAAGCACTGATTTCCTTCCTCAAACAACTGCTTTGGGACTCGCCCAAACTCTGGGAAAGCTCCATCAGAGGCGTGGTCGTCAAGTGCAATGAGGAAGTCGTTGCCAAAGTGATTACAAGTGATACCAATGACACCACAGAGTACACGGCCATGCAGTACCTCGCAGAACGCGCGCCCGACATCCCAGCCCCCAAACCCCACGGCCTAATCAGATTCGGACCCTTTCGCGTTATCTTCATGTCATATATTCCGGACATGACATTGGCGCAAGTCTGGTCCAGCCTATCACCCAAGGAGAAAGTCTCAATACAACAACAGCTAGATGATATTTTCCGTAGATTGAGGACCCTTCGCCAGGAGGATGGCAATGCACTTGGAGGTGTCAGTGGAGAAGGAGTGAAAGAGTACCGTGTCGATGAATGCGCCCGCTGGAAAGATATTACCACAGCCAGAGAGTTTAGCGACCTACAATTCTCCGCGTGCCACCATGGCAGCAAGACATATATCAAATTCCTCCGCTCTTTCCTCGAAGATGAGAGTGCTACCATGCGCGGATCCGTGTTTACCCACGGTGATGTCAGGAGGGAGAACATTATGGTGAAGCAGGATCCATATAATAACAACGCCTACGTGGTCACTGGTATTATCGACTGGGAAGATAGCGGCTTTTATCCCGAGTACTACGAATGCACGATGCTGACATGTACTCTGAGCCTGGTAGATGAGAATGACTGGTACCTTTACCTTCCGGAGTGCATTTCGCCGTTGCGATTTCCTGTGCGTTGGCTTGTTGATCGGCTCTGGGATATTCATCTCAAAACTACATAGCTGCCACAGTTGCAAGATGACAAGAAGTTGCCGTGCGGTACTATGACTGAATGAGAGAGAACCGACTGATGGAGGATTAGGGTGGGGAAAGCATTTGTTGTCATTCCACGATCTGATATGGGATCTTACCTGTCAGCGGGAAGTAATGATTTTTTCTAAAAAAAAAAGGGTAAACTGTCGACAGAACCTCGAGGCTTGGCACAACTTCAGAACACGTAGCATGCCTGACCGATTCAATTTGGAATTCTAGTATGACATCTTTGATGTATGTGTTTAATGTAAAATGTAATTGCATTTCTGCTTTCTCCACTACTGAAGGAGAAACTTTTGTTAGCAGTAGAGCGACCGGCTGAGGCCCTATTTATTAGAATTCGAAAGAGCAGAAAGCCCGCTCGAACCGAGTTGTAAGATGTTTGCAAACTGAGGAATAGATAATTGAGAACCACGGGTAATGAAGTATGTTTTACGGAATCAGGGTTGGGTCTATGAGCTCCGAAATAAGTTTGGTGATAACCATAGCGTAGAATTCAGATGTGGTGTGGCGTACGTAATACGAATAGGTTGCTCTAGATCTGATGATGGTACACAACTATCCCACGACCTAGAGCGGACAATTTTTGGTGGACGTACCCCATCCGCTTCATATGCGGAACGACATGGATATCGAAATATGCATTATCGGGTTTGTAATTTTTAATTGCTCGTGCTGATTCGCCAACATCAAAACACAGTTCTGTGCGACCCTGCATTCCTCCATCAATTTGGACCCTAGGATGTACCATATTCGAAATCATCGGTAGTGGGGGCCCCTTTAGCACCTTAGGTGGAGGCATACTCCAGGACCAAGTCAGTGTTCTGGGAATGCTTCCTGATCCATGGTGGTCACAATGGAAGTCCAGGGCCGATTCTTTTTAACGAGGATGCAACTATTGATATCACGAGTGGTGCCCCTTTCCAAGATACCCTGGAAGAACGGTACTGTTGGTTCATTAACGCGGCTCGGCGGCGATCAGACGTGGAGGGGCAGGGGAGGATGAGAAGTGCATCGGTCTCTTTACCTGGATGGAAACATCCTTCATCGGGATATTTCGGAGAACAATATAATAATAACCGATCCGGAAAAGGCGGATGGTCACTCCGGAATGCTAATCGATCTGGATCTTGCCAAAGAAGTCGGTAGCGGGCGAAGCGGCGCACGGCACCAGACCGGCACGATGGAGTTCATGGCGATCGAGGTGCTGCTTAATATCGACCATACCTATCGGCACGACCTCGAGTCTTTCCTTTACGTGCTTATCTGGCAGTGCGCCCGACATGGCTGGGGGAAGAATAACCATCCTAAGGATAGTAAACTTCGTGCCTGGTATACTGGTAACTATGAGGACATTGCAAACGCCAAGCTTGGCCATATGAGCAAAGCTGAAAATATGGGATTCGGGTTCATTTTGAGGGAGTTCCCTCCAAAGTTCCGTGGTGTTTTAACGCTTTGCGGGGCCCTACGAGACATACTCTTTCCTTACAATGACAAAGGTCTTATTGTTGGCACTCCCCAAGACCCAAACCGCTTATACGATCCTATTATTAAGGCATATGATGACACGATCGCCCAATTTGAACTCAAAAACCTCACTAGCGATAAATCTGTTTAGTGTGCTCTCAGGGTTAAAGTCACGTCCTACAGATTTGCTGAGTTAGATAGTTGATTTTTGATAATATTATTTTTCGTTTACTTATTTCCCTGGTGAGTTTATTAATACCCATCGTAAACGACCCGACCATCATCTAGCTACATGCAATATCGGGGTCCTGGGAGCCTGGGGAATCTCCGGTAGAAGTAGGACTCTCAGAATCAACAATATGATGGTGTTACCTATGCACTTTTGGGGTCGGTGAGTGTGTTTACACTTCCTCTACCGCATCTTCGTCCTCGTGGCGGTCGCGAGAGGCGCTTGCCTCTCCAGCGAAGGATGCTGGTGTGTGTGAGCCGCGGTAGGTCCCCCCAACATAAGGAAAATATATAAACCGCACCCCGAAAGCACTCTGCTGAACTTTGGTATTCGTCCTCTTGGCGCAGGGCCTCCTTGGATATTTCCAACGAGTATCAGTGACCTCATGATGCCCGCTTTTTGGTCCCGTGATCGAAAGCGTAAGCCTGGTCACCCAACATATATGACAAGCAAACAAGATCAAACGAGGAAACAAAAAAGACAGGCAAAGTACGGAACAAATCAGAGCCGAAAGTTTTGGTATTTAACATGATACACAGACGAAGATTCTAACCAATTGGCTTTACAATCTTGCGTCCACCGCCCCTGCGCGATCTCCTTTTCTGCTTGAAATGCCTGTAGCCCGTCAGAGTAGTCGGTGAAGGCCGTTTGTCCTTCCACTCCGCATGGAATTCTTGGACCAACTCCTCGCAGCCCGGGATCAAATCACTCCGTGGTTGCCAGGTGGGCCTCCATGCAACAAGGTCATCTTGGTTGTGGTTTTGTTCTAGTTTTGAGGTATTGCTTGCCCCTTCCAAACACTACTTGTACGAGCTTTTTAAGGACTGGGAATAAGAACAGTTAGTGCCTTCTCCCCTGGGAGGGAAATATATTTTTAAAGAGGCCGTTTGTGAGACGTCAATTAGGGGGTTTTTACTGGGTCAACTATTGGTACAAAACAAATCTAAGCAACTAACTAACTAGAATGGAAAGGTTGAGCCATCTCCCTGCATCAGCGCTGACGTAATCCACGTGACCTCGGTGACGTTCAATTATTCCGGGAGGAGTAATCTGCCAACAATTCCAACCCTCCAAGCTCCTGCAAATCGTCCAATGTCATATTGGCATACACCTTGTAACCTCCTGGAACCTTCTCTATATTCCGTTGAAGGGATGGGATGGCGACAAACGGATCGGAGTCGCTCAGCAGGTTGGGACTCATTGGCTCGTCGATGATGATTGGGTCTTCTGCGAGAGTGAGTGAGGTGTGAGAAGTGAGAAATGTTTTCCACAGAGCAGGTACTGAGCCTTACCAGCAGAACCCAAGCACTGCCACGGCTTTCGTTGTGTGCCATATCCGCGTGTTTCTTGTAAATCTATCCGTCCTACTATCTGGTACATCTCATCCCCTTCTCGCTTATACACCAGCTTCAGAATCTTCACCTGAGAAAGGGGCAAAATAATGTATTCCTGATGATCCAGCGTCTCCCCCAACGCATCGCCTTCCCAACGGCCGGACACCAATAACTTGCTCTGATCGGTGGACTTGGACGTGGCGCTCCTCGCCCGGGCGTGGGTCGGCCTCGATGGAACTATCGGAGTAATTCAACGGCTCCTTTAATGTGTTGCCTTCGCGATTGTCTGAGGCCAGGGGAGGGGTTGGCTCTCGTCGATTGGGTGGGTCATCGGCAACGTCACTTTGGCTTGGGTGAGCCTCCTCGATGGGGTCGTCGGAAAAATCCGACAGTTGGAGTGATGGTGGGGTAACATCGACCGGGGAGGAGTCGAACAGGATCCATTCGTCCCAGTTAATGTCATCGAGACCAGAGACGGTGGATGGCAGGGCAGAAAAACCAGCAAACTCCTCACTTGCTGCATCCTTAAAGAGGTCACCGGACGCAGGGAAGACGAGCATGGGCATGGGCATTGGATGGAGGTGCTGGGGCTCTTCGTCTGACCGAGGATCAGAAGTGCATGCTTCCAGGAGGTGCACTGTGTGCAGCTGAGGCGAGGGAGAACCGTCGGCAGGTCCAGGGGAGGTGGTATCGTACGTGAAGGTAGCCATGTTGTGAGGTGAGATGATGGGATGCTCTTCTCCCCTCGATCTCGATCCATGAGGCACTGGAGGTCCTTATATGTCCCACGATCAAACCCCCGCTTGCGAACAAAAACAGGTCGAGGCTAATCGAGGAGGGTAGGAAAAATAGTAGCTGAGATGCGTCTTCCGTGGATCGCCAATCATTCACGAAGAAGCCGCCGAACCGGGGAATGTTGCATTGATGCGTGGGCCAACGGGGACAAGGAGCACGGGGGTGGCATGCACGAGGATGGCCGAACTTAACCCAACCATGTGTGCAGGTCAAAAAGTGCGCCTGTTGGTGATTTCGCTTAGAGCCGAGACATCCATGGGCTCGAGCACAGAGGCGAAGCCATGAAGCAATATCCGAGGCGCGACCTGCATCGAGGCTTATCATTTTGTGATACACACCCCCATGTGTGCGGTTTGGCAACCCTATAGGGGGCTTTATACACCAAAGCAAAATGAAGGAAAATCCAAAATGCAGCTCATCCTTTGGCCCTATCATTCATGTCGGCTTCTCCAAACGGCGCAGCAAGGTGGGCGTCAGATCAAGGTATATATATATATATATCTTGGGCTCTCATCCAGCCAAAATCGAGCAGTTGAAAAGGATCCCCCCTCCCCCCCGCCCCGACCCTCCTGATACGTTGGCAAACTGTTCGACCCTCTCCTCCAGTCGATAAGGCGAGGGACATGAGGATGGCATGTAATGGAAAGACGTAACTACACCCGCAGCCAATCATCTGCACCTGAACCAGTGCAGAAGCATCCCTGACTTCATCCCTGTGCTCTTTTTGCGAGAGGGCGCAGCGAGATGGGTATCGGATCAGCCCGCCCTGGTGTTCCCTTCAGTAATTAAGGACCAGGTGGAAGGGATTGCTGACAGACAGTGCGGCCAGTCCATCCAACATGGGGTTGAGGTATAAAGGGCTATAAATAGCTCTTTCCCCCTCACTTGAATCCAGCCTTTGCCCTTCTTCAATCTTTTTTCTTCTTCCAATATTCTCTTCCTACTCTGGACGGCACGCCCGGCAATGATGGTTGGGCTGTTGGGCGCCACGGCGCAGGTTATACTGCCAATTTCAAATATCGCGATCGAGGTGATGAAAACGCCTCGCAGCGAGAAGTATTTGTACAAATTGCCCCATATGGACTGGGTGGCGGCCAGGGTGAGGAAGAAGGCGGAGCCGTACCATCCTACATCGGCGAGGGAGTTGAATTCGGTTGTTATTCTGGGTATTGCGGTTGATATTATGCTCTTCGTGGAGTAGGGGGAGTTTAGTTAGAAGAGGGACGGGAAGTAGACAAAATTTCAGCTGTGATATCTGACTCACAATATCAAGTGCGAACTATGGGACATATAATTAGCATTCTCTTCATGTTTGGATTGGCACAAGATAACCGCTCACCACAAAGACTCCAAAAAGGATACCCAGAACGGTAACGGCACGCTTCGCCCCAGACGGGTATTCAACTGCGTTCGCATTTGGCACCGCTTCCCCAGAGGTCCGAACTGAAGGCTGCGGTGTGTCCTTTTCACTTTCCATTCTGATTGTATCACCGTATAGTGCAGGCTGATAAATTGTGACTTGCAATTAGATTCCTTGAACTTTTCAATATCAATTAGACCTGTTCGGGGGAATGTCATTATTATGTATGAAGCAAGAGCACAGGAAACCGTCCGCAATACCCTTTTGTACGCTTACAAGCTCTCAAATCTCCCCGTAATAATATTGTAACAATTAAATTTCCCGACAAGCAGGCAAAAGCAGGCATGTTTTCGAAGGCTCCGATCTCGCGCCTTGGCCGAGATAAAGGACTGTTGTCTGACCAATTTATCAAACGGTAGAACTGAATCTGCATTAGTTTACAATGTCTGGGTTATTTTCCGCATCTTGAAGCGTTTCAATCATGTTCCGGGATAGATTGGAATTTTCTGTCTTCCACCGTCCGCCGTTTGGAAAGACAAGCCGTCGTAAACGGTTGACACAAGAGATCAAGGACTGATAGCTCGGTGTGAAATAGTCTCCAGCAATTCTAAGAAAGTCGCTCTCCTCACTTATCACTCCTTGCTTTGCAGCCGCCAGCTCTTCAGTACTCATATAATTCCATTTCTCAAACCGCTCGACAGTGCTTCCCTTCCCTGGGCCGTCATAGTGAATGCATATCCAGAACAGGACCCAGAAGAACGACTCTAGATCATGCATGAAACAATGCTTTTCGCCGTACAAAACACCGATGGCCATGAACGCTCTTGTGCCAGTCTTGCCCCGTGCGCCGGAAGACGCATCCCGTTGTACCCTGATTGCCAGGTCAAGGTCGATCAGAAAGGCAGGCCATGATGGGTTGTCCTTGTCTTCGTTCACCATCAGGTTCCGCGGGGAAACGTCGCATTGGATGAGGCCAGCCTCGTCGTGGAGTGACATGTATCCTTCAATACAGCCGGCTAGCCCAGTAAGAAGGATTGCCTTCGAACTACTCTCATAGATTGGTTTCCCGTAATCCCGGATAACGACGCGGCGGTGAACTCGATTGAATGGGGCTGAGCCGCCTGCAGATTTGGACGGAGAACTTGACTGGGTACGCTTACTTGGGGGAGGAGGAAATGCCGTGTCCACGCAGTCAGAGGATCGCTTCTGGCCGGTGGTGCTGCCCTGGCTCTTTTGTCCTCTTTGAGACCTACTACGCCGCACTGTCGCCTTAAAGCCACCTTTCTCATCTTTCGTCGGAATACTGAGGCCCTTTCGGATAGCCGAGACATCATCATGCTTGCCGTCAATGCGAACGGTTTCGTGGTGATAGTACCTCGCGACATTCTTGACCCCCTTCGCCATCGCTTCTCGCAACAACTCTCCTTCCTCAGTGCGTTCCGGATATTGCCAGGAGTCCTTGACAACCAGCGGCGTCCGTAATTTGTCAGTCTCACAGTGTGCCTTCCAGCAGGTTGTGGCTCGCCCGGCGACGCAGCGTGCTCGTCCGACAATCCCGTCGATGATCAGCCGTTCCTTCGTACCGTCTTTCTCAATCTCGATATACCGTTCGGTCCCGGTCGTGACGATGGTGGGATCAAACCCAAGTTGCTCCCGGCTCATCAGGAGGAATCCAAGGACAACAGACACAAATTGAAGGCCGTCCTGGTTGATGTTGAATTCCTCCGACGCGATCCCGCCCAGGCGGTCAAAGTTCCATAGTCGCAGGAATGGCCCGCAGAGAGTGAACCCGAGCACGAAACGACGGGTGTCCTGCGCAGCAAGGACCTCTCGGGCGTACCTGCCAAGATCAAACCATGCTCCAGATTTCCTGTCGTATTTCGGGTCGTTCTTCAGCTCCCCTGGCACAAGGATCTGCGACCAGCGGCATCTGGAGTCTTCTGTGGCTGTCGGATCATCGACAAAGCCGATATCGAGCTTTCTCTCCGCGATAGACCCCTGTAGTGGCTGGCTTGGCTGTGCGAGAGGTCTGCGGTCGATCTTCCATGACGGTTCTTGTGCTTCGGCTAATCGTACAAGCTCAGCGATGATGTTAGTCAGCCATCTCAGAACGTCTCGTTCTGCCGCAAGTTCAGGCCAGCCTTTCCAGCCCTCCTCTTCACGGTAAAGTGGGCTGTCTCCCTTCTCGCACTCTTTCAACACCGCTTGTGAAATTGCAGTGAGTTGTGGAATGTCTCCAAAGTACGCGTCAAAGAACCCAGGGATATCGACGTGTATCTCTCCAAGCTCCTCCTTCAGCACAGCATCAACGTGTTTTCGATATTCTGTAGAGTTGACGAAACTGCTGGTGTTGCGCAGCCAGGGAGTTTGTGGAATGGATGAAACGGTTCGGGCCGGAGGGGTTGCTCGCGAGACGGTGGTGATGAGGTCGAGGACAGCTTTCCAGATATCGACATTGGTCGCCTTTTGGATTTTAAGTCGTACTAGTGTGCGGTAGTGTTCGTAGCTGAAGTCGCCATCTTGAAGGCAGGTGAACAATCTTGACAGCTCAGATGCCACATTTTTATTGCTTGCTGGAAAACGAAGGTTGAATGCGGCTTCCTCCCCCATCAAGGTGGTGAGAAGCTTTGATATTGCCCTTTGGCAGATTGCATCTTGAGGGTCAGTGGTAGCATTATATGCTTGTTCTGCCTCTTGAAGTAGATCTTGTAATCGGTATAGTGAGTCGCTTAGAGGATGGTTTGCGATGATATCGCAATCGTGGTCCGAAAGCTCAGCCATATATGATGAATGAGAAGCAAACTGCAGAATTGTTAGCAAGTTATGATGTATGATATCTGCGAGAGAAGATAGCTCGCTAGGAACGAATGCTGGTATATATAATCAAAGGGAGGATTATGGCCAGAGGGTTGATCCGGCTTGGCTTTGATGCAGTACGTGAATGAAAGAACGAATAGAGCCGCCAAGCAATGAACTGGGTGGAGATTAATCCTATTCGATCGCGACAGGAATGGTAATCAGCGCGAACAAAATAGGGGGATTGAAATCGTAGTTGAGAACATCGGCTATTCCCTATTCCCATTTAGGATTAATGTAGGCCAACCTTGGAAACCAACCCGTTGTGTTGCAGATGCGGTTAGAGTCACGGTCCGACATGAGCCAATGACAACGCAAAACACAACAGTTGGTCAACCAGCTGTAGGGCGAGAGGTAGCAAGCGAATCATGATTGGAAGATCCCCATCTCCCCTTACTACCTCTGCCCTCTCCTTCGCTTCTATCTGAATTGGTTAGAGGATGGTTCTTGATAATGTTGCGATCTTCTTGTGAAAGTCCCGCCACTTTGATGGTATAAAAGACCCTTAAGTTAGTGCGAGGAATTGCAAAGAGAGGGAAAGTTACAGGGTGGTATGCTAATTTTACCACCAAACATTTTCTTGGCCAAAACAAATGACTAAGCATGGAGCTTAATTGATTTTTGATTTGATTGGTTTATTCATTTCCACTGACCCTCCCTATTCGGGTTATCTTTGGACGTATTCAATTACATGTACGAGCTTACTGCCTCCCCAACACAAAGGAAAATATATAAACCGCAGCCCGAAAGCACTGGTATTCGCTCTCTTGGCGCAGGGGCCTCCTTGGATATTTCCAACCAGGGTCAGTGACCGCAAGATTGCCACTTTTTGGCCCCGCGATCGAAAGCGCAGCCTGGTCACCCTACATACCTCAATAGTATAGGGGCCATTTACTCTTAAATGCGGTCATTCTTATCATTCAAAAGATATGATAATTTTTACTGTACTGTACAGTACACTCTAGGAAATTCTCTGAGTTCAGTCTGGATTCATATTGAGGTCAGCTCAGAAAGAGCCAATTTTGCATTTACCATCTTATGCTATTAATGGAACTATTCAAAACAATGCAGGAGCGGAGTAATGAACATGAGTAACGCGCCTTGATTTTGATGGCGGGCCATGATGACAGGAAGGAGGAGGGGAGTCTTCTTTAATCGCCAGAGAAAGCCTAGTGTAATTTTGACCAGTCATTGAAAGAAGGGCTAGTGCGACTGAATCATATGATGTATTTTTGACTGTTGTCGTAACCCTGTGCGCTATGCCCCTCACCTTCCCCCTCACCCTCTCCTCGCCATTAATTCCCAAATGACCCTGATGGTCAAGGTTGCACATCCACTCTGTGTTACAACGATCACCAAAAATAGTTACTACGGGCCGACTTTATGCCGATGGGCGGGGTAAATGACATAACCTGTTCACGTAAGTCTACCAAAACTCGCGTGTATTTAATGGCCCATCCCCATTACATTCCACTACATTACACATATATTTCAGCGCTGCAGCAATGGAACGTCTCATCGCCACCGAACCATGCTCCCTAACTGGAGTAGATTCCGACAACAAACACCTTCCCAAGGTCAATGAAAAGGTCAAACAATTGAAGGTGGATGACTTGACACAAACCGACAAAGACAACTTGAAGAGTCGTTTAAGTTTCGTTTGGAAGGAGTCCGACGAACATTCCCTGAGACGGGGAACATCGGTGACTACATGGCGACAGAACCGAGCCCGTCGAACGTATAGAGCTATTCAAGAGGCTGACAACCATTTATTTCTCGCTGTTTTATTGGCAATACCACCAACTGAATGTGGGAAAACACGTTTTGACAACACGACAGAGTATTTGCTCAAGCTTGGAGATTACAGATCATATCATATGGAGCTGAGTCTCGCGACAAAGCGGTTTTTCGAGTCAACCGCTGCAGAACAAGGCTTGGTTGGTAACAACCGTTATCAGACCTTCATGAAGGCTCTGTTCCCTCAGGGTTTGTCCTTTGATTCAATTAAATTTAACGTTTTGATGCTGATTTCTTAAATAGAAGAACGCCGACGTGAGCAAGAATACGCCCCTTTTTGCGTGATGATGCTGATATCAGATAGAAATCAAGTTTGCATATTCGCTAATTCGACCGGACGACATCCCGTCTTTCATTCAGACAGTGCTGGAAGGCATACATAGTAGCAAACAATGGACGACAGAGCGAATGCAGGGTGGGAAAACATCTGGCTGTGTGACAATATTTATCCCAACAGGCGAGGAGGACGGGTCGTGTAACATTGTCGTTGATCGCAAAGTTTTGATGGAAACAATTCACAAATTTCGACTCTCGGACCTCAGGCTCGAGTGAACTTAATCTTGCAACCCAGCACTTCGCAACTGTGCCATGCGGGAATATCGAACGTCCTCGGATTCTGACCGGCATATCCCTCATCACCACCTATGACTCTCACAAACCCAGCAAACCCATCTCTACTTGACATAAATGTGATCCGTTTTGCAACGCTCTCTCCTTTGAAAAGTCCATCTGCTGCTTTCCAAATATCGTAGATTGTCTGATTGATGCCATTGTATTAGCCAAACGACATCGTCAAGGCGCATCGTGGTGTATCTCACTGGAGCCTCAGGATCCATCTTTTCCTCTGTTTCCTCTGACTGTTCCTGGCCTGTCATGTTTGCCTATGGTTTTTCGTTTTGTATGGCGCGGCTAGAGCGATGGAAGCTGGTGGAATGTTAGCGATTATAACGCCATCATTCATTACGCGATGGAGACACGGATTAGAAGGAACGAATCTGATCGAATTGATCGGGTGAAGGAGTAGACGAACGGGTAATCAGATAAAAGCAATAAATGGGGTAGCGTTATGTACAATCTTGAACGGCGCGTGCAGTTCGAGAAATCTCCTGAGACGATCTAAAAGCTGTGTTTTATGACAAAATTGTTTTTGCCACGAGAAGTGAGGTTAATTCTTGAAGCCTAACAAAAAATGTTTGGCGAAAGAGGGGCAAGAAATATGACGCACGTGGGGAATAAAGCTAGTGGGGCTATAACAAACTGGTTCCATAATTTCTGGAGACTTGTCAAAGATGCAGCGCCCATATATCGGGCATTTATGCATAGGGTTCTTGGGGCTCGGTCATTGTAGATGCCAGGTAACGATTAGGCAGCTATGCATTCATTGCATTGCATTGCACCACATTAACCATCGAATTAATTACATTTCATTAATTACATTTCATTAAATACATTAGACCACATTTACAATAAACTACATTACATTTAACTACATTACATTAGACTACATTACATTAGACTACATTACATTAGATTACATTACATTAAACTACATTACATTAAACTACATTAAACTGCATTACATTAAACTATAATCACTAAGTACATTAAACATTACATTAAGCTACATTACATTACATTACATTACATTGCCCTACATTACAATACACATTAAACTAAACGCAGACATATGTCTCCCTTCATTGCTACAGGTTCTGGCGCCCAAACCCTTTTAGTGCTTCAAGAGCCCAGAATGAGTGCCCACAAGATCGAACGTGCATATTTGCGGCGTATGGTGCAATACACCTCGCATGCTCCAGGTCCAATTTACCCTGCATCTGGATATGCGGGGACGGTGGACGGATGCCCAGTGCAACACCATATAAGGAGACACTATTCCCTCCAAATCCTGAGGCAATGAACGGCTCGAGAAATTCGAGCTCTGCAAACATCAAGCCAATTGAAGAACACTTGTGTATCAAGCTCTCCAAACCCATCGCACATAATACCATCTGTTTAGAAAACCAAACCACGTCTCCTATTCCAGAATGAACGCATTCAACAGTGCTGGTTCTCTGCCAATCCACACTGCCCCGTCTCAAATCTCTATTATGGATGTCTTCTTCCCCGGCTTCACCGGCATCTCTGCATCCATGCAACAGCTCCTGGCTGGCAACCTGAACAGCTATGCTCACCTGGTGTGCATGTGCGGGATGTTCCTGTTTTTGGGTAGATATGCGTACCGCTACATGACGGAATTGGTGGAGGCCTATTTCAGTTCGTGACTCTCCCCGTAGTGATAGCTCTTTCTAACCATCGAAAGCTTCGACCGTCCACGTCTCCTACTACAATGAAGCGTACGATATGCTTATCGCCTGGGTATCCACGCAGCCCTTCGCCCATAGGGCTCGCTCCTCTCTCGTCAGCATCGACGGCATGCAAAGAAGAGCATATGCTGATGGTCTCTCAAAAGAGTACAAGAAGAAACCATTGCGCTTTTCACCTTGGAATGGATCATTCTTCTTCGTGTACAAGAAGCATCTGCTCCGGTTCCAGTGCATGGCAAAAGACACCAAGGAAGAGATCTCCATTTCCTGCATCGGCGGATCGTCGCAAATCCTTAGAGAACTCCTTAGTGATTGCCGAGCTGAGTATCTTAAACTTATCCAGCGAAAGACTACAGTCTTTGAGCATCATGATGGTGAATGGAGGAAGGCGAAGGCAAGAGACATCAGACCAATCTCGACAGTCATCATGGATGAGGGCGAGAAAACGGCCCTGTTGAAAGATATCGAGGATTTCCTGGACGAGCGAGCTCGGGGCTGGTATGCAAGGCGCGGGATTCCCTATCGAAGAGGGTTCCTGCTGTATGGGCCTCCTGGAACCGGGAAGTCCAGTTTCAGCTTATCTGTCGCCGGGCGTTTTGAGCTAGATATCTATGTACTCAATCTTTCGAGCATCGACGACAGCCGCCTAAGCAGTTTGTTTGCCCAGCTTCCCCCGCATTGTGTCATTCTCTTAGAAGATATCGATGCTGCTAGTACTGCACGAACGGAAGACAGTGAAACGACGAAAAACACTGGCCAGGCCGCGGTAGGCCCTTCACAGAAGAGCAAGTCTCATGGAAATGTATCTCTGTCCGCGCTTCTTAATGCCCTGGATGGCGTTTCTTCGCAGGAAGGTCGATTGCTGATTATGACGACAAATCACATCGAGCGTTTGGATGACGCACTCATCCGCCCTGGCCGCGTGGATAGACAGGTTTTGTTTCAGCTCGCTGATCACAAAATGAGTTCTCGTCTTTTCTGCACGGTTTTCAAGCGGTCAGATGGGGATCAGCGCACTACAGGAAAGGAGTTCGATGATGAAACAATTGAGCGACTTGCGGATGAGTTTGCCGCCAAGGTTCCGGACCAGGTAATCAGCCCAGCTGAGATCCTGCTATCGTTCCTGCTTGAACGCAAGCAGTCGCCTACCGACGCAGTGGCTGATGTGGAGAATTGGGTTGCCAAAACCAGCAAAGAAAGGGGAAAGGTGAAGAATTACGCCAGGGCACGAGCAATTGCCAACCCCACTGACTCTTTCGAGGATCTTGCGGAGAGTTCCCAGGCTCACAACGCTTGATCCATCGCGGAAGCCTGGCGGACCCAACGCATTCTTACGTCTCGGTTTTATGCTTGTATAATGGAAAGTTTGATGTTAATGGCCAATCTGGGAGGCCCTCTGCTGTTTGTCTGGCGAGACGTTAGCTCCGAGTTGACGTTCTCGCGAGGTGGACTGGGACAGATATTTTCTGCTTCACGTTTCTCTTTCATGTTTCTTTGTCAGTAATTGTTCCTGATGGCAACACTGCTTGTTTTAACGTTGAATCTCCATGACTTCGCCTTTTATCCGTCACAAGATCTGCCTTGTTTGATTTTCTGTCGTAGTTCAATAATTGACGGAACTTAGTCAAATTTTGTAAACATCGCGCCATACATCAACGGGAAGTGCGGAGGAACCTCCCTCTGTTCGTAGGCGCCGTTTCTCCGAGCATGCTCGATCAATAAACTGTCCGTAGCTCAGATGAATGGTGTGGACGACGCGGTCCTTCATAGTCACTTCCCATCCGCTCTCGAAGGAGGACAATTAGCGTAGACCAGTGGGCTGAAGGCATATAAAGCCAGCCCTCCTCCCACTTTGTTTCCCTCGCTCGATCTTCCCTTTTCTCCTCATAAAATGCCGCAGTTTTCACTATGGCGCCTACAATTCAAAACTTAGCCCAAAACAAACCAATAGCACCCAAACCAAGGGCACCTGACGTCCAGAGCGATAGCCCCCAAGCACGCCAAATTTCGGACAAAAAAAGGCCAAAATGGTCCCCAGAAGAAGATGTTCTGATCATCGAGCTTCGGCAGCGCGGAATGGCGTGGGGAGATATCAGCAAGGAACTCCCCGGGCGAAGTGCACTCAGCTGTCGCCTGCACTACCAGAATTACCTTGAGAGACGGAGTGAGTGGAGCGAGGATCGCAAGACCAAGTTGGCCCTATTATATGAAAGGTGGAAACGGCGTGATATCTGATGACAACCGGCTCCTTACTGACAGAGCAAGCAGATTCAAGTCGGAAATGTGGGCGAAAATTGCAGAGGAGATGTCCATCCCCTGGAGGGCCGTTGAAGCTATGCACTGGCAACTGGGAGAACAAGAAATGGCGAGACGATCTAGGACAGTTCCGTTCTCATTCTCTCAACCCGCATCAAAACGCTCACGTTCCGTTCAGCTCCCTCCCTTCGCGGAACTCGACGCCGTATCCCAAGGGAACCGCAGCCACGCAGCTACTCTCTCAACGATGGGTCATCCTTCGGCGTGGGATTGGACGTGGATGGCGTGATTATCGCCGCCGTGGCTTCATACCAATAATAGGTTCGATGTATGTCTCTGGTCAGATGTCCAAGGCAAATCGGAGGTTCCGGGATATGTTGGTATTTATTCTTTGGTCCCACCGCGTGAGGCCGGTTTCTACGGATCTCCTCTGCTTCCATGTTCGTGGTGATTGTATATGAAGATGTCTGGCGCAGGACCGGCCTTTGTTTGATTTTCTGTTGTAGTTCAATAATTGATGGAAGTTAGTCAAATTTTGTAAACATCGCTAGCCATACATCAATGGGAAACGTGGAGGGCAGGGGCCGTTTCTCCGAGCCTGCTCAATTCGCCCTCATCCATCCGATCCCTGAAACTGTCTCTAGCAGCCTACGAGTCCGTAAAATGGTGCGGTCTTTCACGGTCACTCCTCGTCTGTCTGGAAAGGGGACTATTAGCGTAGACGGGGGACTGAAGGTATATAGAGCCAGCCCCACTTTGCTGAGGTCGGTGTAGTCACGTGAGGAGCTATGATGCGCGTGCCATGGGAATTGGGTGCAAGCATGCCATGCTCCATCTTCCGTCAAATATAGATGATTTTTGGCAGCAGAATGGGTAAGTAACTTAAGCGTTGTTGCGTTGAGATAATTCGAATTGAAACCTAACTAGTTGGGATACGGTGGTTTTGGTGGTTCGCTCGCTTGGGAATTACGTTATTAGGCAATGGGGCCATCAGGAAGATTAGTCAGCATTCTATTCTTCTCCGCCCATGCGGCTCATCCAGTTGACAGAGGGCCGGTTAGGGTACAAACCTGAGGGCCGAAGTCCAATAAGGCCAGAGGCACAGGGGCAGAAGAAGCTTGACAAAAGCCCAGGGACTACATCATGTGGTCACTAGCACAATGACCAAGGGAAGGGATACTATGGCCAGTGCTTAAGGACATGTGTAGTAGGTCCAGTGACCTAGGTTGCCATGCTGGAGGCAGGAGCCAATAGGCCTGACGGGTCCATGGATCGCGGTCCACGGACCTGGTAGGCCCAGAGGCGACCAACTTGTGGCCATGCTGGCCTGTGGACGGCAGAGGCCATTGAACCGATTTCTGTGGCCCTGTGGCGACCAAGGACCCACGGCCCAAATGAATATGTTTTCCTCTCGACAATTCTATAAAATTTTGAATGATGACCCTGCCCTTCAGTTCTAACTTTCACCACCCTCTATTCTTACTGACAGAGTAATCATCTCATTTCAATGCTGTACTCAGAATACTTCTGTGCTTTTACTCCTCAGTATAAAAACACAGAGATATTGAGTGGGGAACAACAACAGAAAGCGCTGCAGTGCGCTACCAGCTGATATCTCAAGAGTTGCTGAGAATCATCAGTTCAAGGAAGCCCAGTCATTTGCAATTTTATTGAAAGAAATCACACGTGGCAACATTCGCGGCTTCTTTGAAGCCAGAGAGCTATGTAGGAGAATCAAAAGGATTGCGGGCGAAATGGATGGCGAGCAAGCGAGCGGAATGGCGATGGATTGCAAGCGAAATAGATTGCGGGTGAAATTTGAAATTTTCTGAGAGTAATCTGACAGTAAGGGTTGGTTCCAGTAACGAGACGGAGGGAGATCTAAAGATCTACATCACGTGAAACTGAATTGGTGGGACGCAGAGCACAAGTGCAGAAGTACACTTTTGACGGAAGGGGCAACGGTATTTGGACAAGATTCGTGGCCTATTCATAAAAACAGGTCGGGGCCCCATTGTAAAATGATTTGCCCTATCCACATTCCGTTATTCTCAATTCGACTCCGACTGCGGACGAGCAGGAGACGTACACTTTTGGATGAAAGGGGCCACGGTATTCGGGCAATATTCGTGGCCTATTAGTTTGCAGATGGGACCCATCCACAACTTGCAGCGTTACGCGTTACCACTAAGAATGCGGCCACCATCCAGAAATCATGGCAGAACCACCAGCTGATGGACCTGCTAGATTTCTAGATTTTTGGAAATGAAAGGCCTATTTTGAGAACGGAGGCCATGTTTTAGAGTATATCGACCCTTTCGAACCCTGCTAAGACAGTTGATTTTGAGAAGCCCGACTCGAGGTTGCTCTATTGATGACGAGTATAAAGAATGGGTGGAGATGCCATTTGGATTTCTTTTAGTGTTGCATATTTGGCACCGATAATCCAGTACGCTCCACTCAGCGTTCGGGTGTTGGCGAGCTCTTCCAGCCACGAATTCGGATCGCGTGGCCGAGATGAAGCGAGCCAAAATGGGGAGGACCACGGTTTCGGATTGCAAATCGTGGCCTGCGCGTGCAAGCGCCCGAAGCAAAACGACTGATCGCTCCAAATGACGTTCGACAGAAGTACACTTTTAAAATGCGCCTTTTGGCTCAATGAACCACGCACTCGCCTGTAGCTATAAATTGAGAGCTCTTCCCATAGTGTCAAGTGATAACCAGCAAGTCCCAGATCCTTTATCTTCATCAGAATCAAACGCCACAAGATGCAACCACCAAGCTCGAAACGTGTCAAGAAGCCATGGACTGAGCGCAGTAGCCTTGTGCAGATGCGTTATCGACGGAAAGGCACGCTGCAGCGTATGCTGCGTAGCTATTTCAATGACTGTCGCTGCAAAGGTGTCTACCTTGTCATCCATGAAGACAACCGGTACTTTACAATTAATTTTAACGAACATGGCAATTCAAGTAGCCATTTTCCACCACCAGATAAAGATATAGTGAGTGCCATGCGTACAGCCCTGGAAAGACGTAGCTCTTACAGAAACAGGAGAAGCATTATCCACCTCCATCTCGAACAACATGCGAGAACTACATGAAATATCAGAAGTCTAGAGCAGGGAAGAAGGGAAAGCAAGAGAAACTTGAGAAGCAAGAATAGAATGTTGTAAATTAGGGTTAATTTGAAATCATCACTAAGCTCCTTTTGGAAAGTATACCTAGTCGAAGTTTTATTGGCTGCTTTCACAAGTATGTGTCATGATGGAGCCGCCGAATCTACATTATAAATTTACACTCTCAAAGTCATAGCACTTGCTGAACCCTGAAATCATGAATGCTTTCAAGAACCAATAAGATTTCAAGTATTCTGGTCTTTCACCTCAAGGATTGTCAATATCAGTGGCCTTTCACTTAAAAAATATGACTTTCCCCATGGGCATTATTTCTGTGGCCTTTCCACTCAGCATCGTGTCATCCCCTGATGGGTGTTGGCTCCCTATGTACTTTTAATTTTGTGGCCTTTTCCACTGAGATTATGGCCCTCCTCAAGGGATTTTACTATGGTGGCTAATAGTTCAAAACTGTGGCATTCCCTAAGGATGTTGACACCACATGGGATTCTATTTTTGTTGCCTTTTCACTCAGAATTCCGGCACTCCTCAAGGAGCTTACTTCCCCAAAGGGCTCACTTCCCCAAGGATTCCGACTCCACATGGGACTCACTTCCTCAAGGAGCTCACCTCCTCGGGGATGCTGACACCGTATGGAATTCTATCTTTGTTGCCTGTTCACTCAAAATTCTGACACTCCCCAAGGAGCTCACTCCCTCAAGGGGCTTACTTCCCTAGGGATGCTGACACCGCATGGGATTTCAGTTTTTGTTGCCTTCACTCAGAATTCCGGCGCTCCTCAAGGAGCTTACTTCCCCAGGGATGCCGACACCATATGGGATTCCATCGTTACTGCCTTTTCATGCAAGATTGTGACACTCCCTGAGGGTTCGCCTTCATCGGCATTCTTGCAAATTCCCTAGCTGCCATAGGGGAAGTATAGTTTTGGTCGTGGGCCACACTTCACTGACTCCCGGGGGTGAACCATATTAGGGCGTTCCCGGCAGATGGGCGACATGGCAACAGGTCGACAATGCAAGAGAAGGCACATGAATAAATGACTGTGTATTATAATATCAAATAAAGAAATGAGTGGTTTGAGATCCCATCTTCCATCACTTGCGTGTTGATGGTCGAGGGCGTAATGTGCTCAGACGTTCCTTTCGCTGCATCTCCTTCTCCCTCCTCTTTTGTTTCTCCTCCTGCTTCCGCAGCCGGAGCCTCGCATTTTCAGGGAGGCAGTTGTCTGGGAGATATGTTTCCACCACATAAAGCACACGGTGAACATATTTATTATTTCGCCATACTTTATTTCCAACATGACAAATCTTAAGGCTCTTTTCAACCTGCTGCGCCTCATACCAATAGGGAAGATTCTCCAATTCATCATGGGCCAACGGTTCTGTCGTAGCCCCAGAATCTGAGATATTGTCTCTGCCGTCGGGTTCGATACCACCAGGAGGCTGAGGCCAGTTATTTGAGGCCCTGTCAACAGACAGCCGCTCGGGCGGGACGTTAAGGGGAGCTGCAGTCTTAGATGAGAAATCAAGGTCGAAGGACAGAGATAGGGTGTCATTAAACCCTTACCTGAGGCATAGGTTTGGAAGGGCGCCTTCTCGAGAAAGTCACCCAACACTGCGCAATAAGCTGGAAGAGTGGATTGCTGCGCACCGGACGACAAAAGTTGACTGGGTAGTGGTGGAGGGCCCTCGGTTCCTTGTCTATCCATGCTGAGGATGTGCAGAGATGCAGAGGAGGAAGTGAATACTTGAAGCAAGACGGGCGACTATTTGAAGCAGGTAAAAGATTTGGAGAAGGGCGAAGGCTGAATTCAAATGAGAGGGGAAGAGCCTTTTATAGCCCTTTATACCTCAACCTCATGTTGGTTGGACTGGCTGCACTGTCTGTCAGCAATCCCTTCCACCTGGTCCTTACTTCCTGGAGGGAACGCCAGGGCGGGCTGACCCGATACCCATCTCGCTACGCCCTCTCGCAAAAGGAGCACAGGGGTGAAGTCAGGGATGCTTCTGCACTGGTTCAGGCGCAGATGATTGGCTGCGGGTGTAGTTCCGTCTTTCCATTACATGCCAGCCCCATGTCCCTCACCTTATCGACTGGAGGAGAGGATCGAACAGTTTGCCGGTTGAACTTCCTGGCGTATCAGGAGGATTGGGCAAAGGTTTGACTGGTATGAGTGCTGATTCAATGCGGGGGAATCCCTTTCAACTGGTCGATGTTGGCTGGATGAGAGCCCAAGTTTGCTTGATCTGACGCCCACCTTGCTGCGCCCTTTGGAGAAACCGGAATGAATGATAGGGCCAGAGGATGAGCTGCATTTTGCATTTTCCTTCAATTTGCTTTCGCGTATAAAGCCCCTATTGGATTGCCAAACCGCACTCGTGGGGGTGTGTATCACAAAATTATAAGCCTCGATGCAGGTCGCGCCTCGGATATTGCTTCATGTTGGTGTTTTCGCTTAGAGTCGAGACATCCATGAGCTCGAGCACAGAGGCGAAGCCAGGCGCACTTTTTGACTGGCACACATGGTTGGGTGAAGTTCGGCCGTCCTCAGGCATGCCACCCCCGTGCTCCTTGTCCCGGGTTTAGCGATTTGTCGATTCGACTTCCTGGCGCATGGCCAGGGGGAAAAGGGGGGGCTGAATAGGTTGACTAGCTGATATTCACTCGATGAGAGCCCATGTTGGCATGGGGGTGGTGGCCAGGAGAACTTCTGCGTTGGTCCACCCATCAATGCAACATTCCCTGGTTCGGCGGCTTCTTCGGTGTGGATGATTGGCAATCCACACAAGACGCATCTCAGCTACCCTCCTCAATTAGCCTCGACCTATTTTTGTTCGCAGGCGGGGGTTGAACGTGGGACATATATAAAGACGTCAAGGGCCTCCTGGATCGAGATCGAGGGGAGAAAAGCATCCCATCATCTCATCTCACAACATGGCTACCTTCACGTACAATATCACCTCCCCTGGACCTGCCGACGGTTCTCCCTCGCCTCAGCTAAACACAGTGCACCTCCTGGAAGCGTACACTCCTGATCCTTGGTCGGACGAAAAGCCCCAGCACCTCCATCCAATGCCCATGCCCATGCTCGTGCCCCTCTTCTCTGCGTCTGGCGACCTCTCTAAGGATGCAGCAAGTGAGGTATTTGCTGATTTTTCTGACCCACGCCTGGGCGAGGAACGCCACATCCAAGCCGACCGATCAGAGCAAGTTATCCCCCTGGTGTCCGACCGTTGGGAAGGCGATGCGTGGGGGGAGACGCTGCATAATCAGGAATGCATTATCTTGCCCCTTTCTCAGGTGAAGATTCTGAAGCTGGTGTATAAGCGAGACGGGGATGAGATGTACCAGATTGTAGGGCGGATAGATGTACAAGAAACACGCGGATATGGCACACAAGGAAAGCCGTGGAAGTGCTTGGGCTCTGCTGGTAAGGCTCAGTACCTGCTCTGTGAAAAACATTTCTCACGCCTCACTCACTCTCGCAGAAGACCCAATCATCATCGATGGGCCAATGAGTCCCAACCTGCTTAGCGACTCCGATCCGTTTGTCGCCATTCCATCCCTTCAACGAAATATAGAGAGGGTTCCCGGGGGTTACAAGGTGTATGCCAAGATGAAATTGGACGATTTGCAGGAGCATGGAGGGTTGGGACTGCTGGCAGCCTACTGGAATATCGAATGTCGTCGAACGAGGTCACGTGGATTATGTCAGCATTGATTCAACATGGCCCAATCTCACGAAACCTTTCTATTTCTAGTTAGTTAGATGGTTAAATTTATGCAACAATTGAAGTCTCATTCTCTTCATTTTCTTCATTCTCCTCTTTCGTTTTCTATGTTTGGTTCTTTACTATTTCTTCTTCATTATATCTATCCTGGCCAGCACACACATTTCCAGAACTTGGAAATTCCACTTCAGATACTATTGCCCCAGACCTCTCTCCCTCCTGATGCTCACGAACCCGCTTGAAGAACATACTTTGACCTCAGCGATGTCGAACGCGAATCATGGCAAAAGCTTTCTACTGCTGAGACGGCCGTAAGCCGGAGCGATCAAGGAGATTTGGATTGGATGCAGATGTCATCCCCAGGGAAAAAAAATCCCCTATTCTTCAGAGTAACCATGGCCTGGTCATGCCCGATATATCCCCTATTCTTCAGAACAGCCATGGCCTGGTCATGCCCAATGTCATCCCCAGGGAGAAAAAAATCCCCTATTCTTCAGAGTAACCATGGCCTGATCATGCCCGATATATCCCCTATTCTTCAGAACAGCCATGGCCTGGTCATGCCCAATGTCATCCCCAGGGGGAAAAAATCCCCTATTCTTTAATCTATTCATACCAGACTGGCTTAGGGAGACTGCCGGCTTAGGGAGACTGCTGGTTTAGGGAGACTGCTGGCTTACGGAGACTGCTGGCTTGGGGAGACTGTTGGCGGAAGAGTGCTGGCTTAGGGGGAAGCGATGCTAAGTTCTGGTGCACTGTACGTAACCTTACAAGTGATTTTTGATACGAACCCTTTCGCCAATACGGGTAGCCGGTAACTTGGCCCTTTTTTATGCTCGTCGAAAGTAATACAAGAGAATACCTTTGTGAAGCGTGGGGACTTGAGAACTCCCACTCGAATCGAGTAACTTCATGTGTCTAGAAATATCTCAAGCTGAGCTAACTGAGTCGCACAGCAACAACAAAAGTAGCAGTGCGACAGAAATGTCCTGGGACAAAAAGAGGCGTGCAACAAAATCAGCAGTGCGACAGAAATGTCCTAGAATAAAAGCTGACTTACAGCAAAGAAAGCACTGACTAGTAAAAGAAAAGAGGAAGGTAAAAGATCAAAAATGTAGGAAAGATTTTCAAAAGTCCAAAAAGTCAAAACAAAAATTAAATTCAACAGTTCCTGAAACCAACAGGGCGCCCGAAATAGCCGCTGGAGGCCCACCAATTACAGCGCTAAAAGCAACTAGCGTGAGTAGTGGCATGTAGACCTCCAACTCCTCCGCCTCTTTCCACCACCCATGATTTCAATATTAGATGTGGGGTTGGCCATAAAAATCTCTACCTAGTAGCTCTTGATAACACCAGTGATAACCTGACGACACATTCCGCAGGTTGCGCCAATGGGGGGGAGGCATTCTGGGCAATACCGATGTCCACACAGAAGGGTCCTCCACCCTGATGGGATGGTATAACAGATCTGACATTGACATTGATGCTTCAGCTCACGGACTTCAGTCTCGAGTCTGTCGACCAGCCCATTCTTCCTAGTGATTTCTGCACGCAGGTGCTGCACTTCTTCTTCCAGCGCTTCTCTCTTCGCATGCTCCGCCTCGAAAATGTTATGAATTCCCTGGTTCGCGGTTTCCTATCTCAATATCAGCAAAGGAAAAGGCCCCACCATGAGCCATACGAGGAAGAGTCTTACCAAAACCGCGTCCAAGTTGGGAATTTTACGTTTTTTCGGTGGCTGCCTCATTTCGGAGGGCACTGGGTCATCAAATAGAGCCTCATACACCGGATAGCTGTAGTCTGTGCGGGGTCTCTTTCTTCGCAGCTTTCGTGCCGGGGGCTGGTGTTCATCCATCTCCGCATCTGAACTGATGATGATGGTGCTACGAAGCCCGTCGCGGGGACTATCAGCTGACGCCATGATTGAAGGATGGTTGTGCCCCGGAAATGCGGCTCACTAGGAACGGCTCGTGCTGCAAGGAGGCTGTGGGTAGGAAAAAAAAGAACCCTGAAGAGCTCCAGTGGGGGGGAAATAGGTTCTTTGGTTTCGCTCGGTTGTCTTCGAGTCGACAAGGGCCTCTGGGCGGGTTTCACTCTCGCGGCGGTGTAGGATGGGAAGTGGGAAAGGAATTGAAAGAAAGATGGATCCAAGGGGGGAGGGAGGCCCTCTATATACACCAGGAAATGGGGGGCCGTCACGGGGTGCTCGTCTCGGGTTGCTCTCTCCAGGCATTGAAGCACGGCGCAGCAGCCAACAATACCCGAGGACGAAGTCTGAAAATAGAACTCATGCAGCAACGGCATCCCTTCCACGGCTGTCGCATGCGAATCACCGTGGGGGGGGGAGGGGGACAAGAGGGTGGGTATCATTCGGCTGTGGCTGCGTACAGTTGGCCCCCGAGGAGAAAGATAAGGGTGCGGTCAGGCGAGGCCACCCTCACCTGCCTACCAAGGGCCGTTGATGAACGGCTTGGAGAGGCAGGCCGCCTTTTATGGTCGATCATGATATCACTTTCATGTACATGGATGAGCATTACGTCTCACCCTCCGGGGCTACAGATGCTACTATGACACCAGCGGGTTCGGCTGTACGCATTCCCCTCTCTTGTTTCCGAAGCGTAGATACCCGCTGGCGCAGCGCCGATTCCGTCCTTGCTGGAAAACACCTCTCCACCTCCGGCCAGGGTCGGCGCTCCTCCACCATGTTCAGGAGCCGTGCGTCCTCCTCGGGGAGCCATCGCCACAGCTTGTCTCTGTGACCCTTTCTCCCCTCACCGCGCTCACGCTGAGTTTCTCCGACCTTGTGAGGAGCGGAGCGACCGGCTGACCGCACACTCCCGTCTCCCCACATTGCCGGCGCTGAGTCGGGCATGCAACTCGCCAAAGCACCTTCAAACAGCCAAGAAAGGAACTGCAGACGCTCGTCGAGCTGCAGCGACAGGAAATGGGAGCGAAGGGCTGTGGAAGGACCTTCCATAGACGATACAGAGGCAACGTGAAGCCGCTTTGCGGCCGGTTCTTCTGGCTGCTGTGGCCCTCGCTTGCGTCTCCTGGCCTGTGCGTCGCTGAGGAAGTCGTCGCTCGTGCTGTAGGAGCAAGGCACATCAACGTCGGTGCTGCAACGGGCGGGGTGAATCTGCCGATGATCCAGAACGTGAGTGTCATCGTCCGTTTGAGAATTTCTATTCCAGCTGTCAGGCCTCTCTCTGGATCCTTGGTGATGGTTGGGGGTGTCGCAGGACATAGACAGGGGAGGTTCAGGATATGGATAAGTGGCCTTTGGGCTGGCGAGATCATCACCTTGCTGGGCAAGCCGGCGAAGGTCACTAGTGGCCCAGGACGCGTCGTCGGCAAGGATCGCTGGGTCAATGGGGATGGTGTTCTGGAGATCCGGGAGCCCGAAGAAATCTTCCAAGCTACCATCTGAGCTGGTTACACTGGGCGACGACGGATCAGCCCCTGTGGCGCCTCTCCCAAGGGGAGGCAGCTCGATCGGCGTGTCAGAGATATTACCTCGGATATCACGGGATGAAGTGGGATGTAAATTTGAGGTGTGATGTGCAGGTTCATGGAGAGATGATACGCCATGCCGGGGATTCTTCGAACTGGGTGATGGTATAGACATCTTCCTTGATTGAGAAGGGGAGCTCAACGGCGAACACGGCTGAACATCGCTGCTGATGGGCACGCAGACTTCGGCCGGCGGCTTCAGAGGAAGGCCATGCTTGCGGGATAGCAGAGCGCTGGCAGAGGCATCACAACGTGGTGCTGGGAGAGGGGGAGGGGGAGGGGCAGGGGGGATTCTGGCCTCTAGAGCGCGAGAATTGGGGCATTTGCGCAGTGAGAATGGCTTGGGCTGCCGCGGACGCCGCGGCGCCCACGGCTTGAAGTTGTTCACATGAAACGCGAGGGCCATCTGGATAGGGGATTGGGGATTTGAGGGGGAAGATTATGAGAGATTTTGAGTCAGGGGCGGTCAGGGGAGCAGGAAGGAACGCGGGAATTGAGCCTGAGCGAAGGAAGGGCGTGCGCCGGGTGAGAAAAACAGATCGCAAAGCGCCAGTATCTTGAAAATTCTGTAGGAGGCTCGGCCACCCCTTATAGCTCCTCTCAGCGCAGAGGCTCCATCGCTTCACAGTCTCATATCTCCCATCCGAGAGGGGAGCAGAGGGGGCGAGGGGCGAATTCCTCCGATCCCTGGATCCCCCCCTGAGACTGCTGACGCGTCCCGTGCTGGCCAAAAAGCCACCTGAAGCCTGATGACCAGTGGCCTGCTCCAATCGCGTTTGGCCATTCACCACTTGCAGCCTTCACATGTCCAGAGCATGCAGTCCTGACACCGCCCTGCCCGCCTTGGTCCGGGTCCGACCTGCAGGCGCACACCAGCGCAAATGAAAGGCGGCATTTTTGCTATTGGCCCGCGGAAAGAAATTGTGACAATGGCAGTCAGCCTTGGTGGCTCAAAGGGCGATGCAACCCACATCGCTCAGGCCCAGCAAGCACTCCGGTCCCCGGTCCCCGGACACCAGCCCACCGGCCATCCCAACACGCTCGATCGGCTGCCGCCTCCTCCGTCTGCGCACGCAATCCCACCGATGGAAGGGGCTTCAAGACAAGCCGAGTCTTGAAAAGAAGACCTTCCCACGAGTTAAAATAGAAAAAACTTGGAGGATGAAAATGAAAATTGAAAATAGAAGAATAAATCAACCGGGGAGTAAATCTTTCTGCTGCTTGGAATCACCGATCGCGCGGCACAGCGAAAGGCACACGTGCAGAAAAACAGGGATGCGGACGCCCCGGCAGCCTCGATCCCAGAGTCAAGCGGGGTAGCATCGCGAAAGGGCGACGTGGAGGGCTCAGAGGCCAACCAGGCGGTATCAGAACAGCGGCTCGACGACTCCGCGGGCGCAGGATCCAAGACGGGTGGCCGGATAAGACGGCACCATCCCTGGCAGGGGGGGACGGAGAAGGGGGCAGTGCACGCGAGCGCGAGCGCCAGAGCAGTGCCAGAGCGAGGGCGAGAGAGAAAGAGAAATGAAGAAGGAAGGAGGGAGTGTGTGGTCGTTGCGAGGGGGCGCGAGACGGGTTTTTATAGATCGCGGCGTCCTTTGAAGCGGCGTGAGAGGGCGCAAAAGCGGCGAGCGGGCGCGCCATCCCCGAAGCGGCAACGGTGCTGCCGCAACAGGCCTATCGCACGAGGCGGACCAATGGTGATGGCTCCCGATTGTCTGCTCGTTATGAGAACCTGTGTTATATTTCCTTCTTATTGCCCTTGGTATTTCATAGTGTGTAAAATAATCATAAATGATCCATGAGCAAACCTGCAGCTTATCTATGATCTAAA